TAGGCAGTTTTCTAAAAATCGCCAAAAATTGTAGAAAAATCGTATGAACGCGTCAGAGAAGTCATTTTAAAGGTATAAACCTGAAAGTTTTGCATGTAAAATAGTTTTGAAAAATATAACCATCAAGTTGGTCAAAGCAATCCGTAACTAGACCAAAACTTTTCTGTTAAAAGCTGATTTTTGATTTTAGGTTATAGATTTTTGAACACAACACTTGTTTTTGCTGTTTTGAGTGTATAAATCTCAGATCTGCAAGTTTACATGACAACATATACTTTTCTCATAGTTTTTATGAAGATCTAAGTGATAAACTTCATATTTTTAACATATTTTTAGATTTATGAAGTAATCCACACTTAATCACCAAATAAATCATGAAAAACACACATAGTCATGCATATACACATAGATCTACACAAAACAACTTGTATTCTCCCCCAAAACTTAGTAAAAACTGAAAATAGGTTGTATGAACTCAATTTGAGGTTTGGATACGGTTTTGATGAAGAGATGAGAGAAGATGATGTTGTTTTCGGCCTAGTCTACCCCCTTGATGAGTTCTTCAAGTTCTAAGAGCTTAATAGTGCATAGATCACGGTTTGAAGAGCAAATGAGTAACAAGTTTTAACAAAATCATGAATTTAAACTTCTTGAGTAAGTGTAGCTTACCAAAATGGATGATTTCTTGATGAAGTTCTCTTGAAACACACACAAACTCACGAAATTTTGAAGAGAATTATGAGAGTATTTCTTTGAGTTTTGAGAGGAAAAGATGAGAGAAAATGTTGAGTTTGAAAATGAAGAGTGATGGTGGGGAGGCCTTATAGCCGTGAGTTTGAAGAGGGAAAGAGAGGAGAGAGGTTGAGATGTGATAGATGTCTTGATACATGAGATTAGTTGGTCACTTGAAGGATAATTAGTATGGAAAATCACAAGGTAATTATGAGGTGGCACCTCAAATATCCTCCTATTTGTTTTTTTTGTTTTGTTTGGGCCAAGAATGGGCTAGGAGGAAAGGAAATGAGATAGTTTGGCCCTCTCTTGTCTTATTTCGAGTTTATGAGGCCCAAAATAATTATTTTTCGGCCTATTGGGCCTTTATGAAACTAGTTATGGCCCATCATGGCCCATTAGAAATAAGATGGATCATTCTAGGCCCATATGACCCAAAATACATTAATTTCATGGATGTGGGTCCAATTAGAGCCCAAATAGGGTTCCTAGGCCGAAAGTAGTCAAATTGAAAGTTTATTGGTCCATTAGGCCCAATAAGAGAATTCTAGCCCATAATAATCTTGAACCGAGATTTTTAGGGTTTTCAATCCATAGTTGAACATATGAGATGTATTGTATTAGGTTTTAAACTTAAATCATGAGTTTGGATTCAAATGGATGATTTCATGTTAGCATGTAGCATAATATTCACTTAGAGTACAAGTCTTACAGTAGTTCATGTTTACATGAAAACAAAATTTCCTAGCTAAAATGCTAGTTGTGACAATTAAATACATATAATCACATGTAATTATATGTATCTAATCACATATGATTTATATGGACAAAAAATAATGATGCCTATATAAATCATATGTGATTAGATACATATAATCACATATGATTATATACACGAGAACAACTATTGAATCGAGAACACAAAGATAAATGTTGTCCACAACTATCATATGTGATTAAATGCATATAATCACATGTGATTATATGTATCTAATCACATGGAATTTATGTGGAAAATATTCATTTTCACGTTCTCGATTCATTTGTGTTCTTGTATATTTAATTACATGAGATTATATGTATCTAATCAGATATGATTTATATGAACAATATTCATTTTCTCATTCTCATTCAATAGTTGTTCTTGTACATTTAGTCAGATATGATTTTTGTACACAAGATTCATTTTTGCATTTTTTATTCAATAGTTTTTCTTTTTCCACATCAATCATATGTGATTAAATACATACAATCATATACGATTAAATACATAAGAAAAATATTGAATCAAAAATGCGAAAACGAATATTATCAATATAAATCATATGTGATTTGATACACATAATCACATGTGATTAAGTACATGAGTACAACCATTGAATTGAGAAAGAAATAATGAATCTTGTACACATAAATCATATGTAATTAGGTACATATAATCATATGTGATTATATGTATTTAATCACATATGATTTTTGTGGAAAATATTCATTTTTGCATTTTTAATTCAGTAGTTGGTCTCGTGTATTTAATCATATACGATTTATGTGAAAAACATTTGTTTTCACGTTATTGATTCAATAAATCATATGTGATGAACTATGTATAATCACATGTAAGTATATACCCGATAACAACTATTGAATCGAGAACATTAAAACAAATTTATGTCCACATTAATCATAAGTGATTAAATACTTATAATCACATGTGATTAAATATATGAGAAAATTTAGTGAAAAGAAAAATCAAAAATGAATATTGTTCATGTAAATCATATGTGATTGGATACATATAATCACATGTGATTATACGTATTCAATCACATATGATTAAAGTTGTCAAAAAATAATTATTGAATCGAGAACGCAATAATGACATATGTGATTAAATATATCTAATCACATTTGATTAAATATATATAAACACATGTGATTATATGTATCTAATCACATGATTTATATGGACAAAAAACAATATTGTCCATATAAATCATATGTGATTAAATACAAATAATCACATGTAATTATGTACACATAATCACAGGTGGTGGTAATGGGTGGTAGTGGTGTGTAGTGATGTTTGGTGGTGGTAGGTAGTAGGTGGTGGTGGTGGTGTAGGATTGTGGGGGTGATATGTAGGGTGGTGATTATAGTGGGTGGCATGTGGTGGTGGCGAGTGGTGGTGATGGGTGGTGGAGACGGGTGAAGGTGATAGGTGGTGGTGGTGGGTGGGTGGGTGACGGTTAGTGGTGACGGTGGTGATGGTGTATGGTGGTTTTGGTGGGTGATGGGTCGGGTGGTGGTGGCGGGTGGCAGGTGGTTGTGATGGGTGGTGAATGTGGGTGGTGGTGATGGGTGGTTGTCGGTGATTTTGGTGGGTGGTAGGTGCAGGTGATGGTGGCAGGTGGTGGGGATAGGTGGTGGTGGTTATGGGGGTGGGGTGGTGGTGGTGGGAGGTGGTGATGGGTGGTGGAGGTGAATGGTGGTGGAGGCGGGTGGTGATGATAGGTGGTGGGTGGTGGTGATGGGTGGTGGGGGTGGTGGTTGGTAGTAATGACAGGTAGTGGTCATAATGGTGGGTAATGGGTGGGTGGTGATAGGTGGTGGTGGTGGTTGTTGGGTGGTGGTGATGGGAGATTGAGATGGGTGGGGGTGGTGGTGATGGATAATGGAGGTAGGTGGTGATGGTGGTGGTTGATGTGTGGGGGTGATGTTAACGGGTGGTGATGGTGATGGGTGGTGATGGTGGTGGCGGGTGCTAGTTGTGGGGGGGGGGGGTGGTGGTTTTGGTGGGTGATGATAGGTGGTGGTGATGGTGGGTGGTGGTGGAGGGTGGTGATGATGGGTGATTGAGGTGGGTGGTGGAGGTAGGTGGTGATGGTTGTGGCGGGTGGTGGTTTTGGTGGGTGACGGGTGGGGGTGGTGGTAGCGGGTGGTGGTGGTGGTGATGATTGGTGGTGGTCGGTAGTGATGAGTGGTGGTGCATAGTGGTGGGTGTGGTGGTTGGTGGTGGTGGCGGATGGTGGTTGGTGGTGGTGGCGGGTGGTGGTAGCGGGTGGTGGTGGAGGTGGGTGATGGTGATGATTGGTGGTGGTCGGTAGTGATGAGTGGTGGTGTATGGTGGTGGGTGTGGTGGTTGGTGGTGGTATCGGGTGGTGGTGCAGGCGATGGTGGGTGGTAGGTAGTGGTGATGGGTGGTGTTGGTTGGGTGATGAGTGGTTTTGGTTAATGAGTTTTTTAATTGTTTGTAACAATTGATTGATTTTTATCAATATTATTTTATAGTTTTAATTAAAAAAATTATGTTGTCGAAAAAAAAACTAAAAATATCTAAATTTATAACTTAACATTGTGAATGTTAAATATATTTTTCAGATTCACCGTGTGAATTTAGATTCACATTGTGAATCTTCAAAAATTCACATTATGAATTTGACGGAAAGTTTTTTATCGAATTTGATATCATTGGAAAAAGGATAAAAAGTTATGAATTTCTGTATTTTTAGTTTTTTTTTTTATAAAAAGTAACTTTAAAAATTGAAAAAAATATTGGTTCCTTGGTTAATTATGATTCTTTATTAAACTTCATCCTATATATATATATATATATATATATATATATATATATATATATGAGTAAGATTAAATGAAAATATTAAAAAGGTTGAGAACGTGAGAAAAAAAAACTATCTCTCTATATCTATATATCTATATATCTATCATCATATTAATGGTCCCCAACACCAATATTTTTTTTTAAGTTTTAAAAAGAAAATTTATTTGAAAATATACTTTGGTTCAAAGCAATATTGATCTCTTTTGTAGTTTTTTTTTTACTATATCCCGCATCTTTTTCAACATCAAGTCATGCAAAGATGAGGGAGGGAGCCTTCTAAAGCAAGTGAGAGCATCTTAATTTTAAACCATCCACGTGCTCATCAATGAGTTATGATCTTAGGCGTGCTCATCAATCAGCATCTTAAAGCGTATAAGGGTTGTTTGTTAGTTTAATATATTAAAATAAATTTACATATAAATCTAATTTTCTTTGTTCAATCGTCCGGTTTTTTTTTGTTAATTTGTATTTTTTTTATTAAAACCAGTGGCCTTACCAGTTGCAGGTTGAACTGTCTGTTCCTATGAGGATGGACTTTGAGTCGTGCATAAAACAGGTTCCAACAGGACTACACTGTCGAAACACTGTACAATTTTGCTTGAAAATGATTTTATTGGAAATTGCTTGAGTGGACAAGGTTTGAAAAATTATGGTCACCTTAACTTACTTCCTTCTTTTCTTCATCCCTCATGCGGCAACAATCACTTTCAATTTCACAAACATTGGTCCAGAGCACCTATCCAAAGACATAAATGTAATCGGTGATGGATATATCTCCGATGACGGAATCCATATTACCCCAGACGGGAATGGATCAAGGAAGTACAGACAAGGACGCGCTACATACATCCAACCACTTCATCTTTGGGAGATCACCTCTGGTGAGTTAGCAAGCTTCACCACCTATTTCTCCTTCGTGATAGATTCAGACTCGGACCCAAATTATGGCGATGGGCTCACATTCTTTCTTGCTGAGAACAATTCTGCGATGTTAGCTGGTTCAGCCATGGGGCTTCCCATCACTCACTCAAGAAGTACGTATCCATTTGTTGCAGTGGAGTTTGATACATTCGCAAACCCGGAGTGGGATCCAAGAAACTCTAGCAATGATTTGATAGGTGATCATGTAGGTATCAGCATTAACTCTCTTAAGTCTGTTGTCTCTCAGCAATGGCTCAGCAATGTAGTTGGTGGGGGAGTCTGTCAAGCTTGGATTATATATGATTCTCTTTCTAAAAATCTTAGTGTTTCTTTCACTGGTTTTCAAAATAATAAAATTCTACATCAAGAGCTTCATTACATAATCGATCTAAAGGCTGTATTGCCGGAATGGGTTATTTTTGGGTTTTCAGCTGCAACTGGAAATGCGTTCCAGAAAAATACTGTGAAGTCTTGGGGTTTCAATAGTTCTGATTTACGTATCGATGCAAACAACAAGCTGCCACCTACAAGTGGCCCAGATCGAGTGAAGGGGAAGAATAGTACAGTACTTGTGGTGAGCTTAATAGTTGGTTTATCTGTTCTACTTGCCTTCTGCGAGTGGAGGAAGAAGAAAAGAAGGGAACAGGAACAAGGATGTTATGTTGGAATGAACAATGAATTTGAAAGGAGCACCGGAGCTAAAAAATTCGCTTACCTGGAATTAGCTCGGTCAACTAGTGATTTTGCAGAAGATCAAAAACTTGGTGAAGGAGGCTTCGGTGGGGTTTACAGAGGTTTCTTGGAAAAACTGGGCACACATGTTGCAGTCAAAAGGGTGTCCAAAAGTTCAAAACAGGGGATCAAAGAGTATGTTTCCGAAGTCAAGATCATCAGCAGATTGAGACACAGGAACCTAGTTCAACTCACTGGTTGGTGCCACGAGAAAGCTGAACTCCTCCTTGTTTACGAGTTTATGGAAAATGGAAGCTTAGATTTGCATCTCTTTAAGGAAAAAAGCTTGTTGACATGGGAGACAAGGTACAAAATCGCCCATGGTCTGGCTTCTGCTTTATTGTATCTACATGAAGAATGGGAGCAATGTGTTTTGCATAGAGATATCAAATCCAGTAACGTGATGTTGGACTCAAATTTCAACACCAAGCTTGGCGATTTCGGGTTGGCCAAGTTGGTGGACCACGAGAAAGGTTCACACACCACAATGTTGGCTGGAACCTTGGGTTACATGGCTCCAGAATGTGTAGTAACTGGGAAAGCAACCAAAGAATCAGATGTATTCAGTTTTGGAGTCGTTGCACTGGAAATTGCTTGTGGGCGAAAACCCATTGAGTACTTGGCTCCAGAAAAACAAGTAAGATTAATCCAATGGGTTTGGGAGCTCTATGGGACAGGGAGACTTCTAGAAGCAGTGGATCCACGTCTTGGGTTAGACTTTGAGGAAAAAGAAATAAAGCGGTTGATGATCCTTGGGTTATGGTGTGTGCACCCTGACTCGGATTTCCGTCCTTCGATGAGACAAGCAATTCAAGTACTGAACTCTGAAGCATCGCTACCTATACTCCCCTCAAAGATGCCAGTGGCCTGTTACTTGTCTTCTCCCATTTCTGCTCCATATAGTGTCGCTTCCATCATCCAAACCTAATCACCAAACAGCGCATTTTACATGGGTCATTCCTGATAGCAAAAAACAAGCGTCAAGTGGTCTTAGCATGATTATATGTATATAACTATTGTTGTATTTATCTATAAACTAGCTAGTGAATATTATCGTCACACACCCAGAAAATGACACACGAATCTATGAATGTATCAATGTACATGCATGCTTTAATCTATTGTGTGTGTGTGTTTCGGGCATGCGGGTTCGTTGAGGGTAAACTAAAGGCGGTAGCATCCTCATGTATATCGGAATTAATAGAATTATATTTGTATGTAAACTAGTGAAGGATAGAATAAGTACTCAATTATATGCTATAAATTGTGAAGAGTAGAAATGGAAAACTGGACAGGAGAATACTACTAGTTTTTCTTGTATATAGGATGAAAAGAAGTTTTTCTTGTACAAAGAATGAAAACAAACGGTTACAAACTTACAATAAGATACTTACAAACTAAAACATGAACTTCTTTTACTTGAGTTTTTTGATCTAGCTAGAACAAGACTTGGTCAAACTGTTTTGGGCATATACGAATTGGCGCTCATTTATTAGTATATTACTATTACTACTACTATATTATAATATTATCCATAGGACACCTCACCCTATCCTTGATTCTCCCATCCCCTTTCTCCGGTTTCACATGGTCTTCCCACCCCACCGAATCAGAAGATCCTTGGTCTGACTTTTTGCTGATCGTAACATATCTCCAAGAATATACACAAGAGGAAAGTTTTTTCACCAAGATTTTTCAATCAACTATTATGTATCACATAATCATCAATTTAATAAACCAAAAACATAAAATTGTCTCCACAATAGGTTTTTTTAGAAAGAAAAAGGAATTACATAAAGAAAGTGTCAAGAGAATGATTTTTCACCCGGTTAACCCACTTAACACAAAACTTAGAATTCCAAACATTTATCCACAGAAAAGACTAAGATTGAATGAAATCCCATAAAGCCGCCTTAATAGGTTTAGACCGAGTGAACACATGTTTATTCCGAAAAATCCAAATCATCCAAAATAACGCCAAACCACCAGCATCCAAAGCCAATTAGGAGCAAAACTGAAACCATAAGAAACATTAGGAGACCAAAGCCAATTATCTTGGTATGAGACAAGAGAGACCAGGTTAAACACAAGTTCTCAAAGTAGAGTACTGTAATAACTCCCCCCCCCCCCACCCCACCCCCTCCCTCTAGGATGTCTTCTAAACCATGATAACCAATCAAGTAAGGGTAAACGAGACGATACTTTACATTTCTTGTCATCATCCAAAGCATACACCTTAGGAAAACTAGATTTTAGAGACTGATCACTGCACCATACATCATCCCAAAAAGAAATAGAAGACCCATCCCCAACCTTTTGGTGACACAAGGAAAGAAGATCAACGCCTTTAGCACAAAGGTTTTTGGTTTCTTTACTAATAGAATTCCAAGGACTAAAAGCAGATCTAGAAACCATTACCTTGCCAATACAACCATCGTCCCCATATATAGCCTTAATTACTTTAACTTACAATTACCAATACCCAAACCACCATGATCTCTACTCGCTAAACACTTCCTCTAAACCACCCAAGTCGTCTTCTTATCATCTAATTAAGTCATCGCCAATAAAAAAATTATTTTGTAATGATTATAAAGTTTTTTCAACAGCAGCAGGCATTCTACCCCAAGAAATGTAATAATTCGGGAGATTCCAAAGGACTACTCTAATTAGAGATAACCGACCACTCACTGAAAGAGTACAAGATTTCCAGGTAGAGAGCTTGCTAGTAAACTTAGCAACCACAATCTTCCAATTATCAATACGCGGCATGTAGCACCCCGAGTCGCCAGGTATGAAGTTATTGACTTAATATATTTTATTTCAAGTTGAGGTGATGGAGGGCTTGTGAGTACGTTAGGCGTACATTAGGTACGCACAACGTACTCGTTGCATGCGAGCCATCGGGGGATCCCCGACGTACGATGTGTGTACCCATACATACGCTTGGCATAATCAAGCCAACGACAAACCCTAATTTTTAGGGTTTGCACCCTATTTAAAGTCCTTAAGTCCCTCAAGATCTTTACCCTTTCATCCTCCATTTTCCTTTTAGTGCAAATCTCGAACCCTACCTTTCTTGAGTGCATATTTGAGCTTACCTCGGGTATTTGGGTGATCTTTGTTGGTTTTGAAGAATAAGGAGGTTTCGGAAGGAGAAAGGAGAAGAAGGAGCTTGTAGATCCAGAAGTTTTGCACCATTTCTAGCCCATTGAAGGTATAAAGTTTGAATCTTGATCATTGCATGCTTAGATCTAGGGTTAGGGTAGAATATGGCATCTTTTGGTCCCTTCGCTTGGTTTCTTGGAGTATGAGCAGCTCCATGCCATTTGAGTTGTCCTTTGGACTCTTGGAGGTGTTTTGAGTCATAAAAATCAGATCTTCGTGGTTAAGACTCCACCATGCAAGTGCTAGTAACCATCCAAGTGAGTTAATGGACTTAATTCATGGTTTGAGTCCCATCCATGTATGCAAAAGAATAAAGTTTGCAACTTTATGGTTTAAGACGTTAATATGAACTTGGATATAAGTTTTGGTACTTAGGGTGTTGGTGCATTGTTTGAAGTCAGGAGACTAACGAACCACTTGGTTTGGATATAGTGAGCAGTTAAGGTTCGTTGGGAGTATCACTCACGCATCAGAAAGTCTCTTACGGAGTGTTTGCATTATAAATCCTGTTTGTTTGCGAGCTGTTATTAGGGGTTTAGTTACCAAGGTTGGGTATCGGTTATGGAGTCTCGAATCATGAAGTCCATTGTAAATGTCTCAAGTGATTTGCAAGGTGGGGGTATACCTGAGCTGATAAAAGGTTGGATACAATGTGAAAATTCTTAGATTGATCATCTTTGCTCATAGGAGTAGAGGTTGGTAATGGTGTGTCAGGGAGTCAAGGATTTATTTAAGGTTTTTGGTACATAATATGAATCTGGAATTGGTTGAAATTCGCGATCGATGTGTTTTTGAGTACTTCTTTCCGCGTGGTTGGTGGTGTTCTTAGTCAAAGACAAGGGGTGGGTTCATTGAATGGATGGATATCTGTTCTGGAATATGGTTTTGAAGTCTAGATCTGATGGGTGATGTTTAGAAAAGTTGTTTCTGGACAGATCTCAGCCGGTGGTGTTTAGTTTCTACAGAATCTGGTGTGATGGGTGATGTTGTGAGATGATCCTGAAAGTCTTTTGCTGAGTAGCAGGAGCAGTAGATGGAGGACCAGTTGATGAAGTGGGAGTTATTTTTGATGATGTTGATGCGGTTGATTGGTTGATAATGTTTGTTTGTGTGTGGCTTTCTTTATGTGGACAAACTATATCTTCAAAAACAACATCTGCCACAAATTCTCTAGTACCTAGCCTACGGAATCTTGCAAATCGAAATTGAATTATTTTTGGCTGGCTTATGACAATGCTGAGTGGTGCAGGAAATGTGTAAAGATCAGTGCATCCATCATGATCAATCAGTGTGTTGCAATTTGTTTGAAACAACATTTTAGCTGCACCATCAAAAAAGACTATCTTTGCTTCAGCGGTATCATCTGCGAAGCGTGCTGTGATGAAAAATCTGTTGATATGATTATTAGACATACGTATGTTAAAATGATTATACTCTAAGTAGTTGACAACAAAAACACAATACATACAGATTGTTTGGTTTAGTGACTTGATCGTAATCTTCACATGCAAGTGTGTTTCCTCTTTTTTGAACTTTTTTTCGACATTCATGACATTCTTTATAAAACCATCCCTTACTTGCATCTTTGCTAACCAGAGATGCTTTGCAAGTAAATTGAGCTGCCTGTAATTTTATATATATTAAACTTGAAACTAATATATATATATATATATAGATATATATATATAGATATATATAGATATATATATATATATATATATATATATATATATATATATATAGATATATATATATATATATATATATATATATATATATATATAAAAGAAAAGGTTTGATAGCTGAGTGCATAACGGTTTGGGTTTTGAGATAGCAAGTCAGCCAATGTAAACTTGTTTGTTTTCTTTTCAACTTATACATCTTTACTTTTTTGGTATTTTATCTTGAGCACAGGGTTTTTGTTATGTCGTTTGACAAACCTAAAAAAGCAAATGAATTGTAAGATGTGTTACAAAGTTATATAAATATGAATAAAGAACTTACTCAACAGCCATTGAAGCAGCCTCGGGAATTGCGGGGTTGATGTAAATATATGAGGCAGGGTTGATGTAAATATATGAGGCTAGAGTTGCTGTCAGTTGCAAGTTTCATGTTAAAGGAACCAACATAACCATGTCATTAATTACAAAATAAATGAAATATAAGGCATAGACTGTTTTAAATCTGTTGATATTCAGATATTAATATAAAAATTAGTTGATATTCATTCTCGTTTAGTCCTCATTTTTTTATTTATTGTTCTCATTTGTTGATTATACTTATTACTTAGTAACTGAAAACTCAAAGTGAGGGACTATTTCTGTAATTATGTAAAAATAATAAACTTGGGACAGTTTCTATAAGTGTAGCTAAAAGCAAGAAATTAGAATATACTTTTAGCTGATTTATGTAATATAGCATTATACTTTTGAATTTATTTCCTTTTTTCTTTTTAATAAAGTGTTTTTCTTCTTTAAGCATTATACTTTGAATGCACAATGCTTCAATACAATAAAATGAGAAAAACATACCTAGATACTGTGTGACTTTCATTGAAGTAACAACAACAATAACTGGAGAAGGAAATGCTTCGATAGCTTCTTTATCAAATGAGTTAGCTACCTCATCCCACAAAGTTGTCTCAATCATTGTTCCACTAAACATACATATTTCAGATATTAAATATGATATGTCTCACTCTTTTTTAGATATATGAGATAACAAATACCTCAATTTTTCAAGTTTGAGTTTCAGAATTGCGTTTCCTTGAGTTCTGACTACCTCATACACATTTTCTACCCTCCCAATATAATCTTAACACAAATATAACAATTTTGTGATTTTAATATAAGAAGAGTATATATATATATATATATATATATATATATATATATATATATATATATATATATATATATATATATATATATATATATATATATATATATATATATAAGGATTAAATAACCGTGAGTGTCTTATGGTTATCAAGGCTTGCACCTAATTGGTCATATGCAAGAAAATTGAAGTAGTACACAGGAAAGCCATCATCAGGTATTTCTTCAAATTTGGCTGCCCTACGTACCTAGATTGATTTTGGTTTTGTGTGGGACAGTATCGAAGAAAGTATTTCCATTATCACACACGTAGTTGCTTATAGAGTAACAACTTTCCATCCTCATTATCGAATCAAAGTAGCCTTTATCTCCCAGGTAACCATATGCTTCTATTGCATCTCCCTGCCAAAAATTAAAGGTTATATATATATATTTATAAGTGCATAAAAGAGAATTGATTATAACTCACAACTATATGTAATACTATGGTGAATGCACTCACACTTTTGTCAAGGAAAATGTAGCAACATTCAACTTTTTCCCCATATGATAACCATTTCCTAATGACTTTTAGTTCTATTGGCTTGTCTCCATCACCAAGGTTCAAGTTTGCTACCATAGTTTTAGCCATTTTTTTGTAGAATCTATGAAGTTCAAATTATAATAAAACATCAGCAATTCATTTTTTCTCATAAAAAAATGTTATTTCTTTCTATGATAGGGACGCTTTCTATAAGTTTATTATTATAGGTTCCTTTTTGTACACAAATGATGATGAATAAGTAATGGTTGGAGGTTCAAATAGATGGAACCTTTCTGTAACTTTACTACTACACAGGGACTATTTCTATAACGTTGTTTGACAGTATTTCTATAACTTAGGTTTAACATAAATGTAACAAAAATGCAAGAAATTTCAAACTAATTTAAAAAAATAAGCAACAAAACATATCCTGTTACTTTGATAGTGTTTAAAAACTTGGTTTAAAATTTCTTCTAATTCCATACAAAAAGCATTAAAAAATCGGTTTGAGCTTTTAAAAGTTGTGTTTATAAGTACCTATAGGTTAAAAAAAAGACAATGTTTATGTAGTTGGGAATATATTTTTCATTATCACATTAGAATTAACAATTCAGAGAACAAGATCCAAACAAAACATTTAGAAAAACTTGTAATTAATAAACGAAGAGAACTAACCTGGAAACACACGAAGTCGATATGTGGAAAAAGTGACCTTAGGGAGTATTTTATCCGGTAATAAGGACTGGTTGGTGGAAAAAATCACCAAATCTCCAATAAAATCGAGATCGGAGAGAACCTAGAAGATTGTGTGAGGAAAAGAGGGATAAAACTGATAGACTACATCGTATCTAGGAGATTGCATGAGGAAAAGAGGGAACAGTGAGTGAAGCGTGGACATTGTACTGCACCTGATGCTGTCAGCAACGACCTCTAATCTGAATTTTTGATTTTAGGTATAAGGCTTGAACGTATTTATATTTTTTTTCTAATTTATATTTTTCAATTTTGTTTTATCTAAATTAAATTATAAGGTTTATCATTTAGTTATAAATTTATTATTAATTCTAACCATATTTAATAAGGATTAAAATAAAAGATACAAAAAATAAATCTTAAAAAAACTGATTAAGATTTCTTTTTATATTTTCAATAGAGCTTTAACATATTTTTTACCAATAAAATTGCCCATCGTTTGAAAAAATTTTCATTAACTTTTACATGTACCTTTTTTTTTATTAATACACTTGACATTGAAAAACTGTGCGTTATATTTTTTTTTTCTTATTAACACAATAAATTTTGAAAAGCTAACGTACTCATACTTTGATTTTCTTTTTCCTATTTAGACATTAAATCTTTAAACTCATATAGACCTCATCAATTCACGATTTAATATAAAAAATAACAAACATTGAGACACTAAATGACCATTTACCTATTTGTTTAAAAATATCCTAACTAAAAATAACATAACTACTTGAAAAATGCAAACTGATTTACATACCTAGAAATATTGTGAAGGCAACATATTGTGTTTCCTTTAGATGGATAGGCAACAAAGTACAATACAAAAGTAATGTGTACTCAACCAGCGTTATAATTTGTCCCGACAAAAATTATACCCTCTAGTTAAATAAAAAAAGACTTCAAAACATGAAGCTTGAAAAGCAAAAAAGTTATTGGCACATATTGGTTACATGTTCTTGATAGTTACATGTGTTCTTGTAGTACATTAAAAGTAGAACACCAAAAACTGCCAAGAAACAATAAAGAAAAGTTCACGGTTCTCCCTGAAGAGTGCAACATCATTAACACTAAAAAAACCAAAACAACAATAGGAGGGTGTTATAACCCTGTACATTTTTTCCCTTTTATTTATATAATTTGAAAACATATTTTACTTACATTTTTTCTCTTTTACTTATATATTAAATAAAATCATGTAACATAATTACCTGCAACTGTTTGATACCTTCCATCTGTTGGATCAGGCCCTGTTAAGATCAAAAGTAGTATACCCAAATAAAGTAAAACACAGAATTGCAGGGAAAGATTCCCAGTTTTCTCCCTCTTATTTCTTATAATCAAAACAAAGACTTACAAGCTTTTAAATAACAAACAAAACAAAGTAACTGCAAAGCTAAAACTGAATAAACGTGTGCTCCTAACTAGGTGGCAACTAAGCCACTTATTCCTATTGACAAGGTCAATTAAAGACCAAGTCAGAATTACTTTTTCCTCTACATACTTCCCCTTAATTCTGAACTTTGTCCTCAAGCCTTATAACTCCCAAAAGGTCTCTCATCTCTAAGAACTTGAGTCTTGGCAAAGCTTTTGTCAAGGGATCTGCTCTTTGTTCCTCACCACTGATGTGTTTCACATCAATTTGCTTCCTTTCAATACAACCTCGTATGAAATGAAACTTAGTGTCAATGTGCTTGCTCCTCCCATGAAAAACTGGGTTCTGCATAAGGGCTATGGCTGATTTGTTGTCTACATACTTCCTGACACTTTCTTCCTTCCAACCAGTTAGCTCCTTCAGCAAACTTCTTAACCAGAGTGCTTGGCATGCTGTTGCGGTTGCAGCCATGAATTCTGCTTCACACGAAGACAAGGCTACAGTTTGTTGTTTCTGGGATGACCATGTTATTGGATTCCCAGAAAAGTAAAATACCATCCCCGTTGTGCCTTTTCTGCCATCAACATCCATTCCATAGCTGCTATCACTGAATCCAATCAACTTTCTGTCTCCACCCTTCTTGTATACTAGGTTATAGTTGATTGTCCCTTTTAGGTACCTTAAAATGTGTTTAACTGCCTTGAGGTGGCTCTCCTTAGGTGACTCCATGTACCTGCTCACTACTCCAATTGAGTAGCTCAAATCCGGTCTTGAGTGAATAAGGTAACGGAGGCTGCCAATCAGGCGTCGGTAATCAGTGGCATTGACTAGCACTCCATCTTCATCTTTTGTTAGAGCAAGCCTTGGTTCCATTGGGTATTTTGATGGGTTACAATCTCCCATGCCTGCTATTTGTAATATCTTTTTAGCATACTCGGTTTGGCTGATCGTGATACCTCCTTGCCCTTGTTGGACTTCTATCCCCAGGTAGTAGGATAGACTTCCCATATCACTCATGTCAAAATTCTTTAGCATTCGCCTTTTGAATTAAGCCACCAACTCCTCACTTGTACCTGTCACGATTAGGTCGTCCACATAAACACCCACAATCAAGGTGTTATTAGGTTTCTGGAGCTTGTATATGACATATTCCTGTGGGCACCTTTGGAATCCCATCTCTTTCAAGGTCTTGTTAAGTCGATCATTCCAAGCTCTTGGTGCTTGTCGCAAGCCATAGAGCGCCTGGTTAAGCTTGTAGACCATGTTTCCTTTTCCAGCAATGACAAAACCTGTTGGTTGAGTAACATACACCTCTTCCTGTAGGATTCCGTTCAAAAATGCAGATTTCACATCCAAGTGATGAACTTTCCACCCTTCACTTGCTGCCAATGACAGTACCAAGCGAATTGTATCCAGACGAGCCACCAGTGCAAAAGCCTCATCAAAATCTACACCCTTTTGCTGTACATATCCCTTTGCAACGATTCTGGCTTTGTGTTTTGTTACTTTCCCTTCTGCATTCTTTTTCAACTTGATTACCCACTTCAGCCCTATCGCCTTTTGCCCTTTAGGGAGATGAGTCAATTTCCATGTATTGTTGTTTTCAACTGATTCCAGTTCTTGTTTCATCGCATTTCTCCATTCTTTGTCACCTGATGCTTCTTCATACGTGGTGGGTTCTTCACCTACGTACATTAGCATCTCTGAATCATCTTCCAGCTCCTGGGTTTCGTTATAGATGTCTATCAAGGCTCTAAATCCTCGAACAGGGGTATCGTCGTACGTGGACCTGTCTACATCTTCTTCTGATGCTGGAGTCGTGGAGTCTCCTGGACTAATTAGGACTTCGCTCACAGGAGGTGAATGATCGAGTGATGTTGTGGATGACTGATACCCATGTGATGGCGAACTAGGGCTTCCAATTTCTCCTAATGCTGGATCGAGTTCCTCCATCGTATCTTGGGCTATTCCTTCACTAGGGAACCTGACCCAAGAATTACTTAGTATTGGGCCTTCACAGTGGACTTTAGCCCAATCCCATTTCCTTTTCTCTTCAAATACGACATCTCTTGATACATATATTCTATTTCGTTTAGGGCAATACAACCGGAACGCCTTACTTCCTGCTTCGTTTCCCAAATACACCATTTGTTCACTTCTATCTCCCAGCTTTGTGAGTTTATTCGTTGGTATCTTTGCATGAGCTACACAACCGAACACTCTAAAGTGCTCCAAAGTTGGCTTCATCCCCTGTAGACCTTCATATGGAGTCATGTCTTTTACTCCTCTTGTTGGGACTCGGTTTAAAATCTGCACAGCGTGGCGAACGGCTTCTCCCCATAGTGTTTCTGGGACGTCCATGGCTTTCAGCAAGGACCTGGTGGCTTCAAGAATTGTACGGTTCCGGCGTTCTACCACCCCGTTCTATTGAGGGGAGTAGGGTGCGGTCAATTGCCTCTTGATTCCTTCCTGATTGCAGAACTCAGTGAATTCATTTGATGTGAATTCACCTCCTCTATCTGTGCGCAACATTTTTAATTTGTATTTCCCTTCACCTTCTACTAGATTCTTGAACTTCTTGAAGGCAGTGAAAGCTTCACTTTTGGCTTTGATCATCGACACCCACATGTACCTGCTGTAGTCATCTACCATGAGAAGAAAGTACCGGTTTCCAGCTAGTGTTTGGGGCGTTATAGGACCACACAAATCTGCATGAATCCGTTCAAGTGGAGAGCTTGCACGCCACTGTGCTTCTTTTAGGAACGGATATTGGGTTTGTTTGGCAATTAGGCATCCCTCACATATCTGTGTGGGATGATGAATTCTTGGCACTCCCCGCACCATATCTTTTTCCACCATAGACTCAATCACATGGAAGTTCACGTGACCTAATCTTACGTGCCACAACCATGCTGTATCATCTAGGCTTGCACTGAGGCACACAGGTTGTGTTGTATGCAAGACAATCTTGTACAACATGTTCTTTGAA